TTATAAAAAACATAAAATTTTGAAAATACGAAAAAAAAAATAAAAATGACAAAATACAAAAACTGTATTACACAAATTTAAAGCCGGTAAACGAACAAATAATTTTTATCATGAAAGGCATTTTTTAATCTACGCTATCATACATTTTTTGCGCGTTATAAGTTAAAAATTAAATTATTTTTTTCTCTTTCGAAGTTATACAGCGACACTATTTTGAATTTTCGAAAAGACCACGGTTCATTTAAAAGCTCTTTTCAAGACGAACATTTTCCGGGGTCAAACGTTGAAATCCGTCCATATCAATTTTGGACAGAGGCTTGATCGATTTGGCAAAGAATGCCCCATATATATATATCCATTTAACCTGTATATTTTTTTTTAATCTGAGAAAAGCAGATCTGTGCAAAAAATAATCGACATTTTAAAGCATTATCAATTTGTAAGATAAAGATGAATAAAATGAATTAATTTTGCCAAATTAAACGATAAATTTCCTATGAAAAGTTTAATATTATTTTTTTAATTATTAAATTCTAGATTGTTAAATATTAGATTAGATTAGAATATGGAATGTATACAACGAGATTAGTTCAATAAATACAGGAACTGAAAAGCACAATGCAATGACTATCGTACCATATCAAGATCTTGCTTCAATTAACTAGCATTAGGTTGTTCGAAAATAAGCTGCACATTTTTTAACAGTAATTTGAAGGAAATTTTAATATCCAATAATTTTATAACGCTACGTTAATTCAGACGTAAGTGATTCGATTCGTCCTAGAAATTATTTACAAATGTCCTTGAAACTTATAAAGTGCGTTTTGGGTCGGTTTACAGTCAACAAATGTATCGCATACTATCTACCATCAAATATCTATCATCACCATAAAGATGGTGATGGATTGGCCACAATAACATTTTCATATTATTCTTCGCTATTATATTCATGAGATTCTGTCTTTCGAGTAGGAGAAACCGCTACGTGTTGTTCTCTATAGCGACAGCATTCTTCGAGATCGGTGTCAGGATACTGGATTCCTGATCGGAGTTGGGCGGAGTTAGGACCACCTGCGGCGCTATGTTGCTGTCGGCATCGGTGCGATCAGTGCCGGCTTCATCACCAGATTTCGTTGCCATTCCGACAGTATTGTTAACAATGCACTTTTTAAAATGGGTCCTCATGTTGCTACTTTGCGAGAACCTGCCACCGCAATTGGTGCAGGAATACGGCTTGGTACCGGTATGATAATTAAGGTGAGTTTTCAGGTGATGCTTCTTAGTGAAAGCCTTCGAGCACAGGGTGCATTGATAAGGTTTCAAGCCGGAGTGCAGTCTAGTGTGTAGGGTCATGTTGGAGCGGTCGGCGAACGCTTTCTGGCAGACCTGGCATTGATACGGTCGCTCGCCAGAATGGGTCCTCAGGTGCTGCTTGAGCAGCATCTTCCGCGAGAACGCCTTTCCGCACTGATCGCACTGGTGCGGCTTCACGCCCGTGTGTATGCGCACGTGCATGTTGTAGGCCACTCGTTGATTGAAGCTCTTCCCGCATTCCGTGCAGCCATACTCCTTGCGGTTCCGATGAATCTTCATGTGTGAGCTCAGGTAGCCGCGGTCGTTGAAGTACTTGCCGCATTCCGGACAAGTGGCGGCAAACTCCCGCGTGCCCTCGTGCACACTGCGATGGTACTTGTAATTGCGCAGCTGCGAAAACTGTTTGCCGCAGTCGGCGCAGCGGAACGGCTTTTCACCGGAGTGCGTTCGGCTGTGCACCTGTGACGATCACATAGACACGGCGATGTGTAGCTAGGCTATTTACAAGGCCACGGGGCCGAAGACGAAGGAAAAAAAAGAGAAAATTGAACGTAGGAGTCGCGATATGTCGTTTCTCCTTTGTAATCGGCACAAACGCGGCGATGTGACAGAACAGAGCTGCTGCTTAAAAATATGGAGCCAAAAAACGAAGGAAGGAAAAGTAGGTATATGGAACGGCTTAGAGACATTAGCATCTCATTCTTCATAATCGGTATAGGTACGAGAGCATGTATACGATCAAGTATGAATGAAGTGCCTGCTTGCGTCAGGCATGTAACGTCATAAAAAAGGACGGTAGTAATTTAACTGACATTAATTCTAACGTAACTGACACTTAAGCTCTGCGAAATTCTGCGAAATTAGAGACTTGTAGTATCTAACATTAACAAAAAAAAAAGGGAAAAAAATAGACGAGAAGGTTATAATTTGCGTAGTGACTTATGGAACATCATGCGTGAGGAACATCACATCAGTGAGAAACAGTCAGGTTTGATAGTTTAGGACTTGTGTAATCCAAGGTAATCGAGGATCTACATTAAATAGCTAGGCTCGTCATTCAGCAGTAAAATCTGTCATGTTAAATCTCTGGTTAATGCTTAGGTTAATCTCTACGTGAAATCTACGTAGTATCTATGTTTCTGCCTGGGAATCGAAATGTGTGGCCTTTAGAACATTAATGTTTGATTTAATGATTAAAAAGTATACCTTGAGCGACGCCCTCGTGACGAAAGTCTTTCCGCACTGATCACACCTGTGGTCATCCACCGATCGTCCACGCTGCGCCATCTCCGTGTTTACGATTGCCTCGTTGTTATTGTTATTGTCGCTGTTAACAAAAATCCTCGCGATTCTCTCTTCTCCGCCCTTTCCCACGTTCGTCACTTCCGTCTTTGACGTCTTCTTCTTCTTATCGGCCTCGATTGTGTCGCAGAGTCTACTGATCGGATGCGACAATTCGGGTTTCGTCGGCGTCTGCGGAACTACCTGCGTCGGATATCCGCCACCTTTTTCGGCATTCGTGATAACGCTGTCGTTGCTTGAAGACAATGATTGCGTAGGCGTATTGCTAACGTTCTGGAAGAGAGGTTGTTCACTGCTTCTCGTCACGTTCACGGACATTGCGATTTGATCAGAAGGTGCAAATGAGATTGGTGATCGATAGATCTCTTGAATTTTCGCTTCCGGACCATCGATTATCTCGCGCGATAATCTCAAGTCATTATTGAAGCTTGTCTCGCAACTGATTGGAACTTCGAAAACCGTAGGGCAGGGCCCGTCGCTTCGAGGTGCGCTTCTTGGAGAATGAACAATATGCTTTGAGCTCGATATTACTGTAGATCGAGTTGGTTCCGAAGCCTGAAGCTTCTTAAGGATTTCCTGCAACAGCCGTCGAATTGTACTTTTATACATAAAATTGATCTTTTCTTTTTTAAATAATTAATCTTAAATATTGTGGGAGGACATTAAAGAAAAACGAAAATATCTCTTTTCTTAATTACCAAGATAAATCATTTTTTGTCTTAATTGATCAAGAAACAGAATTTTATTATTTCTCTTTATTTCTTGCTTTTAAACATTGCCTATATATTTTTTATTTAAAAACAATATTTAAAAAATGTTAATCTTTTTTTTAGGAACAGCCCAGATAAACAGATTGTATCAATTTTACTGCAACTTTACGTTGTACTCGATCATCAAATGCGTAATAGATGAGTCGATTGTGGTTCCAAATATTGTAGTCGTATTTAGTAAATCAGAAAACGAAATACCATGACGCAAATATGATGTAAATATGAGAAATAAAAATCTGATTCTTAGTATCTCATATTTACATCATATTTGCATCATGATATTTCGTTTACTGATTTACTAAATGTTGCTGCAATGTTTCGAATCACAATCGGCTCATCTATGAAGCATTGGATGATTCTAAAATAAACGTAAATTTGCTGTAAAGTATATGTACATTTGTCTACTGAGAATATTTTAGCGAAAAAAAAATTTAATTATAAAATTTAATTTGTTTTTTTATTTTCAGAATATATTTATTAAGTTTATTAATTATTTTTATGTACATACAAATTCTTATAATTATATAACGCAATTATAAACATTCTTGAAAACGCATAGTGTCGACGGGATTTGAATCTAAGATCTTTGGGGTGGTAGCCTACTTACGCTAACGTTGAGCTAATCGCACGCTTGCATCTGAATACTTTTTTAAATTTAGCAGGGAATGGAAAGTTACTTTTTAAAAGTAACAAGTTACAGTTACTTGTTACCGAGAAGGAAAAGTAACAAGTTACCGTTACTAGTTACCGATTTTTAAAAGTAACTCGTTACAGTTACCGTTACTTGAG